TATAAATATACTCCAGATTTTATTAGAATTGACATTACTACTTGGGAAAATGGCAACAAGCAGGTCATATAATCATTTTAGAGTTTTGAAGAGGACATTCTCTGAAGATACAGAGGAAAACCTAGATCGAATTACTATGTTCCCAGATCTATAAATAAACGGCTGCGAGCAATAAACTCGTCAGCCGAAGGATTCAGCAACGAATTGACGGCCAGTGTGTTTCTACTAGTAACTGAAAGTGAAGAGAGTGCCGCATTCAGTTTATCATTCCTGGCTTTCTGCCACTCACATAGTTGTGTTTCCAATTCGTCTTCCAACATGGCGTCTATGCGCTCTTTCATCAATTCCTCTTCTTCAAGACGCTGTAATTCCTTAAAAGAGAATTTAATGCAACAATACGCCTTTTTAAAAATGGAATAGCTTCCTTACTATTTTGTCGAACTCTTCTTCGTTTTCCATCCATAAGTACTCAGAGAAATCTTGTTCATCATCTAAATCATTATCAGATTCGTCTTCCACTACATATTGTTCGAATTGGTCACACCAATCGCTTGAAGGAGCTTTCATAATCATTTTAAAGAGTGAAAATTCTTGTTTAAGTTGCGTTATTAATAAACTGAAGCGAAAAGAATTTTTATATATGAATTTTTTATTTTATTCGAACTTTTTTGTTTATTTGACTCCATTAGACGATCAATAAATCGATCTAAGTTTAATTAATAAATTGGTCGATATCTGATCGTCAGGAAACATATTCATAATCTTTATTTTTGATTTACTCAAAACATTCTAATGGGACCCTACATAACTTAGCAGCGATTTTCTCGAGATGTGATGGCCACTGGCTATTATCAAAGAAGAAGTGCGCTTGGTATAGGACAAAGTAATAATTATTAGCAAAATGAACAATTCTTTCATTAAAACAATCGGAATTCATTACGTAATATCATCCGCCTGAGTGACCGATGAGGCAAAGGATCTCTACTAACAACTGAATGGTCGTGAGTTCAAATCTCAAGTGTCCAAGTCCGATAGCTTTAGGCGCTAGTGCTTTAGAAGTTCAGTCTTAGAATTTATTCTTGGGTTAAATTAATCGAATTGTATACCAATGCGCAGTAAGAGAAGAAAAGTTATTATAGTATACAATGCAAAAGTAGAAAACTATGAATGAACAATTCAGAACTTAATTATGATTAAGAATATATATGCTTCGTAGAGCTCCTGATTCTTCCTTCTAGGTGTTGCAAACGTTAGCCATAAATTCCGGAAATATGTATATTGAATGTATAACCAAATTTCTAATAAATCATTATTAATGTTGAAACTTAATTAAAACGTATGCATGAAAGGTTTAACATATATGGAACTACTGTTCTTTAAATTTTAATACTGTGGAGCAAAGCGGCTAGCGTAGGATACATCCGGGCAGCATTAAATGTCCTACGAGGAGTACAAGTGCAAAGGAGTTTCAAGGGGTTTTTAAAAGAAATATAATATATGAGCTGTATTCTGCGCCATTCTTATTTCATCCGACATTTAAGGCGTATTTATGCAAAAACCGTCTTAATGTTCATTTTCTGTAGAGGGCAAGCCAAAGCACAAGCTATTTCTTAAAATTTTAAAGAACGTTCTCGATTATTATTATTTTATTTATTATGTCATTGTAATTATTTACCGTTCATAAAAATAAAGTTTACACCAAAGAATGTTTGAATAAATTTCTTTACATGTATTGTGGGACTTTAGAGAATAAGCGCATACAATTATCAAGAATTTTGCATGTATTGTGTGATTTAAGGAATAAGCGCATATTCGTCCTCAATAATTCAACAGGTCTCTTTATAAAAAAGCCATCGATGCGAAATTAATGTGTATATGTTCTCAGTAATTTGTATAAAAATTCCATACAACTGAGAAAATAAAAATTGTTTACAATTGAGAATGGGAAAAAGATGGATATTATGTTGAGCAAGATTTTAGTTTCCATGTAGTTTCTATTCTAAACTAAGTAACACACAATTACATTTAACATGCTCACTCCAGTTATTACGGCTGCTCTTTTTTTTTGTTACGTTTTATACATAATCGTGACTAAAATTACAACAATTTGGACATATAAGCCACAAATCTATTGGCTTAGTCCATCTCCATTCAACAAACCAAAAAAAGAAGAAAATGTCTAAAGCATAATGCATTTCTGAGAGAACAAGTCTCACGTGTCCAAAAACCCGAGAGTAGATGTAATAACATTTGGCGACATAACTCACTCTACTTGCGTTACATTCCGTTACATATATATGTAGGATGGGATGTTCCACTATACTCCATACCCCATTTTTGTATTTTTCCAACAAGGACTCATTGAGAGGCTGAAACTGTGCTGGAGTTTTATGATGAAACTAGATCTAAGATAATGATTTTATATACAAACGCTCTTTTTATTTGAAATATTTTTAATTTTTCTCAATTTTTCACTCAATTAATATTTTTGAGTTTCTTTTCTTTCATTTTTTTCGCAATTATTCAATTCCTACAACTGCTTTGTCCATTAAATTAATTTTATAACGGAGAAAGAGACATTAAGCATATAAGCACG